CTGGCAGTTCTGATAGGCTTGGCCTTCAGCTTGGGCACGAGGACCCTGCGGTACTGGGGCGGGACGGCGGCGATGATCTCGACCAGGCGCGGCTGCGCCGACAGCCCGTACTTGGCCGACGTCCTGGTCTTCAGCCTGAGGGCAGAGACACCTCAAATCAGCCAAAGAACTCCTGGTTTCCATCAGCCCCACCACGCTCCAGGTGGGTTCTCCCAGCCTGCCTTTTTAAAAAGCAAACAGCTGCTCTGGGGATTGAGATACAGAAAATAAACTCCAAACAGAGCTGGTAAGCGACAACCGTCAATAATTTGAGTTTCTAGGTATTTTTCTAAAGGTGGCTTTACCAAACCATTGTGAAAGCTGCCAACAGGCTCTGCCTTGCCTGTTTTCAGTGATTTAGTTCATGCCTTCCGTGTGATTAACACACACAGCCTGTGGCTGAGCTCATCTCCAAGTCAATTCAGGCTTTTCCAGCACCAGCAAAAAGTTTGGAATTATATCGTGTCAGTGAAGCAGAAAATGAGCCAAATTCAGGTTTTGCTACAACACATATGTAAAGAAATAAAGAACTTGCTGTGAACAACTTCATGCACAACATAATGTCAAAAAAATTCTGATTTAACAATATTCCTATATTGATCTTTCCATTCCCTGTTGGAATTGAGTTTGGGGCTATTGAAGGATGAACCCAAGAGGAAAGATAAAAAGGCAATGGCAAATCCTTGGAGTTTTACATCCATTTTGTACTCTCAGAATTGCCCACGAAGGAGCAAATCACCACAGAATTTACTCATCTCGGTGCCTTTATCACCAGATAACGGCAAGAGAAATGGCAGCAGGATGTCAAAATGAAACCTGGACGTCACAGAGTGCACAGGACACGTTCATTCCTCACAGATCCCCCTTGGTGCCATCCCTGAGGGACTTACTTGTTGAGATCCACCTCTTTTCCCTGCTCGTGGGCCTCGATGAGCTGCTGGATGACGTCGGCGATCGTCATCATCATCAGCTCGGCCTGGCTGAGCCCCCCTGGAACGGGAACAGAGCGACAAACAGGGACACTCAGGGCTGGGGAATGCTGGGGACAACCAGGGGCAGCTGCCCTGCAAGGCATTCCATGGAGTTGTGGAATGGATTTGGTGGGAAGGGGCATTGAAGCTCATCCACTTCCAAACCCGACACCTCCCGCTATCCCAGTTTGATCCAACCTGGCCTTGGACATTTCCAGGGATCCAGGGGCAGCCACAGAGTCTCTGGGAATCCCAGTCCAGCCCCTCACCACTCTTACAGCCAAGAATTCCTTCCCAATCTCCCATCTCTCCCTGACCTCTGGCAGTGGGAAGCCATTCCCTGTGTCCTGTCCCTCCAGCCCTTGTCCCAAGTCCCTCTCCAGCTCTCCTGGAGCCCCTTTAGGCTCTGGAAGGGGCTCCAAGGTCTCCTGGGATCCTTCTCTTCTCCAGGTGAACCCCCCAGCTCTCCCAGCCTGGCTCCAGAGCAGAGGGGCTTC